TTCTTCGCACACAGGGTCATACCTATGTGGACCAGGTTACCTGCAGAAGTGGTCAACTGCACCAGTGTTAACGCCTTTAAGGTGATCCTGGACACGTGTTGGTCATCAAGGGTATCCGAAGTTAGTATTTAAAGTGGGAACACGAGGAATAAATTCTACTTTAGCCGGAAGCTTTGAAATGGTGCAAACTCGGGTTGACTGTTAGAAGTATTCTAAAACTGACTGTCCTATCACATGTGTATACGAACGCATGTGTGCTTGAGGTCTCTAACCAATGAGGCGAGGAGATATCCTTGCTTACTTTCTCCTTTTCAGCATACCCCCAAGGAGTCAATGTTCTGGCATAGGGGATAAATTGAGAGGACCACAAACAGCTAATCAGTTGTACGCAATGGTGGAAACTACTACCATCCGCTGACAACACAGCGAACTGGACGCTCGATTGTCAAGAGCCATACTCTTTCTGCGAAACTGAACTGAACTGAACCTGCGCTGTAGTAAGTTGCAGAAGACCCGAGGTTTTTGTACCGTTATACAAAACCATANGATGGATTGCACCCTGCCGTGATCCAGCCTCTAGCAAATGCATTAGCGGGACCGGTCACTAAGTTATTTAGGGAGTCCATCGGTACTTGCAGGCTTCCAGAGGACTGGAAAACTGCAACCGTAGTGGCCATCCACAAGTCAGGTCCTAGACACCATGTTTACAACTACAGGCCGGTAAGTTTGACCTCGGTCCTATGCAAGTGTCTCGAGCGGATAGTTAGGAAACAGATCTGTTCTTATCTAATGGCCCATGGGCTTCTGATTGAAGCCCAGCATGGATTCGTCGAGAAAAAGTCGTGCCTAACTAACCTATTGGCATTTCTAGACGAAGTTACAAAAAGAATAGATGCAGGCCGCCAAGTAGAGGTTTGCTACCTAGATTTCAGCAAAGCTTTCGACTCAGTCAGTCATCAGCTTCTGGATCTAAAAGTGCAGGCAGTGGGGATCCTAGGCAAAGCAAGAGAATGGATTAGACAATTTCTCAGCTATCGCACATTCAGTGTGAGAGTTGGAAATTATACAACCGAGCCTGAGGTAGTATCGAGTGGTGTCCCACAGGGATCGGTGTTAGGTCCCTTATTATTTTTGATCTTCATTAACGACCTTGCAAAGGATCTCCAAAATCCTTGCTTCATGTTCGCCGATGATGTGAAGTTAGCTGGGGAAGGACTGGAGCAGGATCTAGATGCAGTTCGAAGGTGGTCGGATAAGTGGGATCTGCCACTGAATCTAGGTAAGTGTCAGCTCTTGACCACAAGAGCCAATGATGACACGAGAGGTATGATGCATTTGCAGCATGTCTCTGAGGCAAAGGATCTAGGGGTAATGATCACGAACGATTTCAGGCCATCCCTGCAGTGCAAGCGTGCGGCTAATATAGCTCGACACGAACTTTTCAGGTTGTGCGCTGTAGTAAGTTGCAGAAGACCCGAGGTTTTTGTACCGTTATACAAAACCATAGTGCGTCCACATTCAGAATATTGCGTACAGGTATGGGCGCCTTATTTTAAACAGGACGAACGCTGTCTTGAGAAAGTACAGCGCTTAGCAACTAGAATGGTAGCAGACCAGAAAGATAAGGGATACCTCCAACGACTGCGGGACCTGGACCTGTTCTCCCTGACCCGCAGACGCATGCGAGGCGACCTTATAGAGACATTTAAGATTGTCAAAGGGCTTTCGGGTCTAAGGTTCCCAAACGTATTCTCTTTTGTTCCTGCCAGGGGCACGAGGGGCCATCAACTCAGATTGGAAAGAAGTCATTGTAGACTAAATTTGCGAGCTAGGTTCTTCACAGAGTTATACCACTGTGGAATAAACTACCTGAAGCAGTGGTTAACTGTATTAATGTCGAATCTTTCAAGAGAAGGCTAGATGAACGCTGGGCAGTGGTATTCCCTGAAGTTGAGTGTTGAAAGTTAATCGTTAGGCTTTACTTTCCGAAATACTATAAGGGATCTGATACTGCACACTAACATTCTGCCTTTCAGAAACTACTATTGACTCGAAGTGTCGGAAGCCAACGAAACCGCCGACAACACAAAGAACTGGACGCGCGATTGGCAAGAGCCACAATTCGTCCTGGGAGAACTGAACTGAACTGAACTGAACACATCGCGGACACGGCCGTAGTTTTAAGCGCGGTGCGTCAAGCGTGCTTTATATTCGTTATTTCCTATAATGGCTCTACGTACACACTTCGAGGGGCACAACGACATAGGAGTGTTTGCGAAGCTCACAAACAACTTCTGTTTAGTTTCCGTTGGTGGTTCAGAAAATTTTTACAGGTAGCTGGTTTTCCGCCATCTTATAAAATCGCTCAGTGTCTTCGAATCGGAGTTGGCCGACAATATACCTGTTGTTCACACCACTATCGCCGGGATACGCTCTATAGGCAGACTTACAGTTGGTGAGTTGTGTATGCTGCCCGCAAACTGGCTCATGGTTTTTCTTCGTGAACTTTCTTTAGCAACGCAGAGAGATGTCAAATGTGTTCTTCCCCTACATCTTTGCGTGCATCTTGTTTAATTCCGTCACAGGCTTATTATTACTAGGAACCCGTATACCGTGACAATATGTTGCATCTTGTCGTACTGTTTTTTCGCCATTGCTAAGACTCGCATCGGAGTGCCAACTGGCGATTCGTGTCTCCGGCATCTTGTGGATTAGGTATTATTAATTATAGGCAACGTGCTAGACACCGATATCCTAAATTATCTCAATTTAAATGACCTTATTTTCCTTCAGTTTATTGAAGCAAATTTTGCCACATCCACTCAAGCATCCGAAATGTCTGCTGCAATAAACGGGTAGGTTGGTCTGCACCACTGAGATTCTGTTCTTCGGGGTCGATTCGTGTTCTTTCCTATTTGGTATCAACAGGGTTTTATCATTAATTGCCCTCATGTCATATTTTCGTTATTCGGGTTCTTTTGTTGCAACATTCCCTCACTAGTACAATTCATACATTCTAGGTGAGAGATTAGTTTTTTGAACCAGTTTGCACAACCGATCACTGTGCACTTCCGCGTGCCGTCTACTGTTGCCGTTATTGGGCTATGCCCAAGGGTCACCTTGCTTTTTCCTCCTCAAAACACCGATCCCCATCCACTTTTGTAACGGTTGGTGAATTCACTCCACTGTATTTCTCAGTATGATAATTGTGTCCAGCCATCAAAATCGATCACCGCCCATGTTTGACGTTTCCAAGCCTTCATTTCAGGTATTAAACTGACCACCTTTGACCTTTCAGCTCATGCTTGCGCTTTATATCTTTTCATTGCGTATCCGATCGCCGACGTATTGTGGTCAAGCCACTAATCCACAAAGGTCAATCATCTGCGTTCGTGCCAGACCACCTGACTTCGACATTGCCTGCCCAGTTGTCTCGCAGACGCGTGCAATGCGGCGTTTAAAGCGATGGTCAAAGGACGGCAGTTTGTAATCACCTACATGTTGTAACCATACCTCTGAAATATAGCGATATCCGCAGAACTAATACAGTATGCCGTCAACTATATATGAACAGCTTTGTCGCTTCGTTGTCAATAGAACCTCTTCATTTTTAATCCATCATATAAGACTGTTCCCGTCTGATTCATCTTCCTTTCTTTAAATCAATCTAATTTTACAACAGCATTGCACACAGAAGGCGCGAAGCACAGGCCAGACAACTCTGCCCAAACACTCAAGCCTTTTAGAGAAAATTGTAGTTCACCTAGTTCTTTATATTGCACTACGTTATAGTTTGTTTACTTCACAATAAATAGTGTTCCTTGAGAATGCAGCGGTGGTATTATCCTTTCTCCGGGATAGATGAATTTCTCAATCCACATCTCTTCTATAATGAAATAATCAGGAGATCTACTCCGACAAGCATCGGTGTCCGTTGTAAACTCAGATGACAAAAAGCCACGCATCCATAGATGGCGCTGATTTTCCATGAACAGTAAACACAGGTGAATTACACTTCGAAGGCTCTTCTGAAGGACGCAGTGTCAATGAACGTTTCCGACAGTCTTTTTAAAATGAAACGGTAGTGAGAATTTCTGTATTCCAGAATCCGGCCCGAGGGAAGGTAAGTTCAGGTATAAACCTGTTCTAATTGCTCTTCATCGCCTCTGATTGCTGGGTCACGTTCTTCGTATGCCCTCCCATTGTCTACCTTTCCATGCTTTATTTGCATGTGTTCAGCCAGGCTGGAGGAAGCGCCGCGGGGGTCAGACCATGACATGGCTTAGGTACACAAAGAGACTAACTTCATCTTTGGCTTCGGTTGGTGCAGCCTGCCTCCCAAGTTGAGGCCCAAGGTATGAGGATTGTCATTGGTTAGAGACGCTTGGGGATATGGCCCAGAATAGAAGTCAGTGATGCGAATGCTGTGCGGTACCCCCGTTGAAATCCCATGCCCCTCAAAGAAAAAACTAAACTAACAAAATATCACAGGGTGTACGGTGAAACAAACAAATGCTATTCTTGTTACTCACTATAACCGCAGACCCCGATCTCGCTGCTTCTTATCCCAATCCATTCGTTCTCTATTCTTGTTGTTGCATTGACAACATGCTTATTCGCTAGTCGGTGATAAATATATGGTGCCTCAAATTTCCATGTATTCAGTTGAAAAGTTGAAAAGTTCCCAAGTTATGACTGATTCGCCATCCTTAATAATGTATCGAATCGGATTTTTAACTTAGCACGATATACATATATTTTTTGATGTTCAGTTGTTCGCCTAGCTCGGCGAACAAAACTGAACATCAAGTTATAATACCGAAGCTACAAAAATAACAATCGACAGTTATTTATAAAACTGTCATTTATGTATACTTTAAGGGGCTCCATCATGGGATTTCTCGGGGTAAAAGGTTTCAGTTGAAGGGACTGGGGCTTCCCGAGTTTCTTAACTTTGGAAATAAGTCGATTGACTTTCCATTTTAAATAATAGTATTTGTATGTCAGATGAATGAGTTGCCGAATATGGTAATGGGGCCAATTAAAGTGCAACTCTTCGATGTTCTACCCTAGGTTTCAAACGGCATTCTGGAGATTACACTGACTTAGTTATCTTCGTGCTACTTGGATCCTTTGCGGGTGGTTGCATCAGATGGCCGAGACAACCAGGTTCAATGATTCACACCAAAACTGCACACACGGGATCTTGTTTAAACATCAGTCTTCATGCTTCTTCATTATTATAACATTTCCTATCTTTTCAAACATACCCAAGTTGCCTAATTTTCGCTCGATTCCCTCGATTTATTATAGGAAATACGCATGGGTTGTTGATACCGCACACAGCCACAGACCAAGAGCTGCTTCATCTCACTAATTCACTCCCGGACAAAGTGAAGGTGATGCGCTTAGAAGAGAGGTTATCTGCCCTGGGAAACACAATAGTGTGCAACGATTATGTGGCACTAGTGCACCCAGATCTTGACAAGGTACGTGTTCCTTTTTCCACGACTGTCTTCCAAGTTGATTCCCTATTTGATTAATTCATTCTTATATTGATTGCTCTCTTATTTGTTTTGTGAAAATTTATTACTTTATAGGAGACTGCTGAACTCGTCAGCGATGTTCTTAATGTAGAGGTCTTCAGAGGGGTTATCGCCAATCAATCCTTGGTTGGTACGTATTGTGTGCTTACCAATCAAGGAGGTCTCGTGCATCCACGCACCACCATCGATGAACTGGACCAGTTGAGCAGTCTCTTACAGCTACCACTAACTGCTGGCACAGTCAACCGAGGCAGCCCTGTCATTGCTGGTGGCCTGGTTGTGAATGACTGGACCGCATTTTGTGGCATGGAAACTACAAGCACAGAGATACAGGTTTGTTAACTTCGTAAAAACCCAATTATTTTATCTTGTAATCTTATGTATATTACATATATGTATGTATATATGTATAGTACACTTGTCTGAGGCCAGACTGTGTCAAGCAGATCATGATACAATAATCTTTATAAAAAAGAAGGACGTTCCATGATTGGCTTGTGGGCAGAATACTTCCAGGTTGCCCAGGTTAAGGTAGGGGAATTTTCTTGATAAATCCACAACCGGGGCCTTTGGATAACCAAAACCTGACGCGCAAGGCAGCGGGGCGGTGTGCGAAAAACCGCGATCCATTGGGAGCCGGTGTCCATTTCATCGGATCATATGCCTTTCGGACGGGGTCAAACGTCCAAGGTGCCCAATCAAGCCGGTGACCACTACCACCAAGCATATGTATCGACCAACTGCAGTTCTGGCGAATCGTACAATAAACTCACTGAGCCTGTTGGCTTGTGCCAAAGTTCCAATGCGGTTGTGTTGTTAGATAATTTTAACGTGCAGATTGGAAAATCGAGCCTATCAGAAGCTCGTTCAGGTAGTCGTTGAACTCTGCTGTGTCGGGGAACAGATAACGACGATCAAATTATTCAGTTCTGCACCAATCATAATCTATTAATCTCCGGTATCGAATTCCTACACTACTTTCGACATACGGCAACGTGGCTTCCCCACTAATCTGATAAGTTGACTCAAATCGACCCCAGAATTAAGCTGCCTTTGACATGGCACAGTGCAAACTGCGTCTTATGGGACCATTGGTCTTAAAGTAGTTCAGGTTCCGATCGCCGACAAAACCAGCGGATTGGGTTAGCGCATCTTCGCGTTTCTGTCCCGCAGGTTACGCTCGCTGTAAATCAGCTTCAAACTCGTCTGAGGTATTGAATATTTGATGAATCAACTGCCCTGATGGAGACAAAACGCCGAATCCTGTCGGACGTGAACAAAACAATGTTAGGTGGCGTGTACAACGTCAGCTTCCGAATAACCGCAAGAAGGAGACTTGGTGCCAACAATAGCTAGCGAAATGAAAGTGGCAGCTGCTTTCAGGAGTATTCAAAGACTGTTCCAACTGATACGCAACACCGGCGAACCCTATTCGCAATAGCGAGCAGGGGCTTAATCACTAGGGTCAGTATTTCAATGGACAGTTCAGTTAGTCTTGCGGAATCTCCATGGGCACTGCCATTTGAACCTGTCACGGAATTCCGATATTGCATTCAATCAAGAGAGGAAAGACAGCGGGACCTCTTCAAGATTGGGGTTGGGGGGGGGGGTCGGGTGAAGACCTCGTAAGCTCCATTACTGACTTACTGCACAACATCCGGTCATAAGAGCACACGATGATTGCACAAATCACCGGCAGATCAGTTTGATTCTAAAGTATTAGCTTCCGTCACACTTCGGCGTCTGACGTCCTTACGGGAAACGAATATTCATCAACAGCCGGTAAGATTCCGATCAGGTCACGATTGTATGGGCCAAGTCCTCATGTTGCATCAAGTCCTTAAGTGATGTCATGCTCATCGTAGATCAACGATGACAGTATTCCCGTTGACCGCGAAGTTCTAATGGGTATACTTTTTCGAAAAGAATACCGCAGAAGTGTCTAAATATTTTCAGGTCATTCCACTCGCATACTTTTGGCAGCATAAGGGTCTACCGCAAACTAAGCAAATCGTTTGAAACCACCAGTGGTGTTCGCCATTCCCGTTCACTTTCGTCCTAGACCAAATACTAGGAACTCACAAAGTGGTCTCCCAAATGTTGTTAAATGGGCAGTTAGAGAATAGCTGTGCACTTTGAGTACTCTGACGATATCGTTCGTCTGGTTGACTGTATGGAGGATGCGCACAGCGCATTTGACAGTTGCTCCATTCAGTATGCGGTTTGCATCTTCAAAATGTAAAGTGACGCTGCAAAACTAATGCTGTTCTCAGACTAGCGGAATTTAACTGTTTCTCGTACTTACGCAGTTTCATGAATAGCTCGGCAGTGGCGTAAGAGAGACAATCTCCCACATTGTCAGCCATCAAGCGGCGTGCGCAGGACCAAATTTATGCTTTACGGTGGTGAGACATTGCATTTGTGGGTGGAAGACATCCATCGCCTGGAGGTTTGGGACAGTCGATGCCTGGCCCAGATGGGATGGTGTGAGCAGATGAGTAACGCAGATGTAAATCGTTGTGTTTGGGAATGTATTGAGGGAGGATTCGCTATGATATCATAATCAGCCCAATAGACCTCGTTGGTTAGGGCACGTTTACGTATGTCTAACGGTCGCCCATCGCACCGTGTCTTATTTGCAGTTGCCGCTCCTGGCTGTAGAGTACCACGTTGAGGTCAACAGCTGATGTGGAAACGAGGCATGAAATGCACAGAGCGATTCGGTAAATTAGGTGTCTCCTGTCTTACAGGCTGCTGTTCAAGACTAAATGGTTGATTAGAGACACGGCAAACCGACAACAGTCGAGTTTTTGTTGTTATTTCTCACCGTACCAGAATGGTTGAAAAAGTTTGTATGCACAGTTAGACTATATTCTCTGTGTATTTACCATTGAGGTTCGCTTTCTTCCCCCTCCCGGAAAATAAACCCAATAACTGTGTCTTACATATTCTCACCTACCTTAGGTGTATTATGAGTTTAACAACTATCAACAAAGTTCACTTTATTCCGCTGTACGATGGTGAAGATCTACCGGTCACTTTTGTTTACTCATCATTGATTATTATCAATTAATTACTATTAATTAATCAATAATTATTATATTCACGTGTTATCGCTGCACTGGGTTCTGCGAATCCTGTTGAAGCTTCTTCCACTTTGGGCGCCTAAAACTATTGGTTTTAACTTGGTTGAGGGCCTGGTGGAGCAGGATGTAAAGGCCATCAACAAAGGATGTTCACTTCACGTATCAGAACTGCATGGGTACGAGCCTTTTGAATTAGAACGTTCGTCAGAAATAAGCCCCGCGAAACCACGTTTAGCCCTCTGGGTGATAGGATCAGGCGGTTAGAGCAACTCATGGGCGTATTTTGAGCCATAAGGTCCTGGATTCCCACCCTTCCCCGCAACTTAGGTGAAAGGCAGCTTCTCAGTTATCCGGTTTAATATTACGCCTGTCCCGGTTGGGTGTTGTCTGCTATCACACTCCAAATTTCGGGAGGTTACACTAATGATTTTGCTTACCCTGGGTGGGAAATGTCCGCAAACAACACTTCCGGGTCGGAGATCACACCAACACTATCACTAGGTCCGTATGCATACGTGTTCTTCCCTTTTGCTGTTTCTCACACAATGAAGTAAAACAAAGAAACTACTCCTACAATAGTGTAACCACATCCTCAGAAAAAGTATATATATAACTTGCAAGCACCGCTTATAAGTTTACTGTCTCACATTTTTTGTACGATCATCATTTCCCATATGAGTTTTATATTATTGTCAACTAGATCCCTTTCAGTTTGGAATTTTTTGCTCACCAGGTTGAACGATTACTAGTGGTAAACAGCAAAGCTGTCTCAGTGGGACTTATTCGGTTAGCCACTCCAAGTCCTTTGATATAGTTACTCGTCCCTATGGTTGCTCAGTGAAGTCCTGACGTGGAAACGAGGCATGGAGAAATGCACAGAACCATTAGGTAGAGTAGATGTCTCTCGCCTTCCAGGTTGGGGTCCGAAAGACTCCACAACTGGTTGGTTGGAGACACTGAAGGATATGGCAGCGAACCGGCAGCAGTGGCGTTCTTGTTGTCGTTTCTTATCAGGTCAGAATGCTTGAAACGGTATGTATGCAGATTTCGATTGCATACTCTGTGTGTTGACCATAGTAGCTCATCTTCTCCCTTCCTCAAAATAGATCCAACCCCTGTCCACCTTAAGTTTTACCACTAACCTTGTATGCATTGTGAGTTTGGCAGCGATCAGTGAAGTTCGCTTCACTGTATTTCGTTGTACGATGATGATGATGATGTGACCACAATGCTTCCGCTTTATTATTCATCCCACAAAATTAATTTTTAAAATTTAAAATCTTGTAATAATACAGCAATGCAAAATTGTGCGCATGTTGTTCGCAGGTTATTGAATCCATTTTCAAACTGGAAGGTGACATCGAAGCTCCAACAGCGGCAGCCATGCATGACACCCTTGTGGAAAGGTTAGTGCATCTTATTTCTCACGTTTTTCTCATACAATTCACAATTAATCCGTGTACATACTTAGATATTTTTCAAAAGAGAATGGAGGCGTACACCGTGTTGAAAAATGCTTATTGTGAAGTTTCGATTCAAACGAGGACTCGTTATCAAACGTACATGGAATAAATGAGATAATGAGATTACCATCTTTACGTGCGCCTGTGTATAATTATTATTATATTTCACAATTGTCTGAGGACAGTATGTCAGGCAAATGATAATAATCTTTATAAAAAAGAAAGACGTTCCATGGTTGGCTTGTGGACTGAATACCGCCGGGTTGCTCACGTGCGCCTGTATGCTGTTTGTGTGTTTATCAGTGCACCAATTGTTACGGACTTTGCGATTGCAACATACTGTTTGTCTATTTCGACGTGTCGGTTGAACGGATTGACGGAGTGCAGAACTTCGAGGATTAATCGTCCCTCTTTTTTTTTGCTTGCACCACAATCTTTGCGTTACCGATCGAGATCTCGTGACTTTTGCGTGCATGGTGGTTCCAGATTTGTGACCTCGGGTCAGCGCTTCGGAGGGCAAGTTTGTGCTCACGTATATATTTATATAGTTTCACACACCTCTCGATCCAGACTGTGCCAAACAAATCATGGTACAACAATCTTAATAACAAAGAAAGACGTTCCATGATTGGCTTGTGGGCAGAATAATGCCAGAGAATTTTCTTAATGAATCCACAATTGGAGCCTTTGGCTAGCCAAAGCCCGACTCGCAAGGCAGCGGGGCGGTGTGCGAAAATCCGCAATCCATTGGGAGCCGGTGTCCATTTCATCGGATCATATGCCTTTCGGACGGGGTCAAACGTCCAACGGGGCACAACACACGATGCCCGATCAAACCGGTGACCACTGCCACAACCAGGAAGTTGTGTGTCTGGTTCGTATGCCTCCTCATGGTTGTTTTGGTATTAGGGTTTTTGATCAATCTATGTGGACTACCGGTGGTCCACCAACCCGGTTATAGCCCCGGATAGCGGCTTTTCGTCTTCTCTTCTTGGTGGGAAAACCTCCGCCACGAGAAGGCAGTGAGTAGGGCTTTCTCAGCAGAGGTTATTCGAGACGCTTGGTCGTATGGAAGCATTTCGCTAGGTGCAAGGGAAGGGTGACCAGTCACAACCCAAGACACCCACCCCCGACCATATTGAGGCTTTTGGAGGCGAGAAAGAAAAAGGTTACCAATGAACTGAGACTGTGGTGAATGCGTAGGATAATTGGGTACGATGGCGTTGGTGGCCAAATGGGAAACAAAAACCTCGGCTTTCTCGTTTGGTTGATATACAAGATCACCGGTGGAGATACATATAGGAGGGAAGTTGAAATGGCAGAAATTACGAGAAGTTCCTTCAACAATTGACAAAGATGTTCGGCTACCAGTGGCGAACGAGACCAACGAACGAAACGTTTTATGGTTTTCGGAATGGTTGTCGAGCCCATAGGCAATGAACTGTCTACGGATAGCACTGATGAGTGCTACCGAGCGCGTCTCCAGGTCGCGGATAAGAGAACGACTA